TCTCGGTATTCTTACTTTCGGGGAACCAAGAGATATCGCCGAAACCGATATTAGCCGCCTCAAAAAATTTACGACGGGCTAAAAACACTCGATCGTAAAGGTCTTACGATCCAGTACATAAGAGATTAAAAGTACCACAACGGATCGGCGTTCTAAGCAGTCCAAGTGAGATCATTCTTAGAATCAATGTTTTAATCTAACATAACCCAACCTAACCTATATGGTTATAATTAATTGAATAGTTTTTAAAATATAATATTTGTTTTTACAAAAATCAGAAAACATGAACAAAATTATAATATCAGTTTTGCTGTGCAAAATTAGTATACATGAAAGAAAACAGAAAATCACTTGAAGCCAACATATCTTATATTCCAAGAAAACGACTTTTAAAAGCTTTTCTTTTACAATTTTCCAGTTCATAACCTCCTTTTATTCTTCCACTTTTAGACAATGGTTTAACCGCCCTCTCTTCTCTTCACTTTAATTATTAAAATTATCCAAAAATGCCTCCAGATAATTACGGAGATAGTCCAACTTGGTACACAAATATGTATCGAGAGTTACTTGTAGTTTACCAAACTACTTGTATATTTGCATAATTATTTCAAAATTTTAAAATTTTTCGACTTTCAACAGGAAAATTTTCCTCGATTCACTATCTAGAACAGTCAGACCGAGCTCATTTTAAGAAAATAAATTTTGTGTATATTTCATCCTCTTGTTCACATTCATTGGTAGAATGTATCGATATCTGGGTATACGGTGACATGTTTATTTCTGGGTAGTCTATGCGAATAACTTTTGAGACGAAACCGAAATTTCTTTTGAGTAAAATACGACATTTTTTAGGCTATCCACTTTTGATTTTTGGTAAAACCTTAAAGTTTTCCGAATAAATTTTCGGTAAGGAGCCTTAGAATAAAGATCACGTGACTTTTTAATGCGCAAGAAGTAACGCAGAACACATGATTAACTGGAAAACTAAATTTGTCTTACTATCAAGCCGGTATTTTTCAAATTATCCATTACATGCCATTATCTTAGAACTAAGAGCACATCCAATATTTTCAAGAACAACGTCGTAATATGGATACCAAAGCATGAAAATTTGCTTAGATATCACAGGCAACAAAAAAAATGTATTTTTGTAGAGTTGTACAGGGTTTGCCTCAATTCTTTAAACACTTCTGTGTCGAAGCAGCGCTGCCAGCATTGAAGGCGTCCCGGAAGGCATACTTCAATAGCCTTCAGATCCGAGGATCTCCTCTGTTCATTTCAAAATCGCGTGTGCCACTCGGAAAATTGCTTCTTTGTCCCAGAATCATACTCAAAGATACATGACTCGTCAACTGTGATTACGTTATTCAAAAATTGGGGGTCAAATCTCCTTGCCACACTTCCACTCGTCGTAATTTCTGGTCGTCAGTGAGTACTTTTGGGACCATCTTTGCAAACACCATGAGCATGTTCAAGTGCTCCTTCAGGCTCTTCAGCTCTGTCAGGAACCACAGCATTTGATAAACTAAACATCTGGACAATTAAACGAATCCTTAGTCAACGGTCTGACTTCAAAACTGTGCGAAGCACATTGCCGGTGTTTGTCGAAGTCGCAGGTCTCCCAGCAATGTCTTCATCAGTGGCCTCTGACGTACATCTCTAACGAAAGCTGCATTTTCGACTTGCACCACTCCCAGAAACACATTGTGCGAAAATGTTTGTCCAGACTCACCAGGTGTTTGGAGTCAACTAAACAGCCTCTTGTTCGTTAGCTAGGAATGCTCTCTACCGAATCCAGTCGGTTCTGTCGCTTAACTCGTTGCCTAATTTTGGTCCTTTTTTAACGAAATTTATTTTTTCTCAAGCAAACTCTTTTCAGTTAACCTTTTTTTGGTTTACTTTTTTATTATTTGTTTTACATATTAAAATCATTAAAAATTATGGTTTTCATCTATAAAGATAATAATCTTTTAAGATGAACCGAAACCATAAGGTGAAGAACTACGTACGGGTACGTAATAATCACCATTCACCATATAAGCATTTGTTATTGCACCCATTTTCACACCACTGTAAGAAGTGCCACAATCATCTTTCACCGCTTCCTCATAGTCACCACAACGCATACTGGGGAAGTCATCACGAGCCACAGCCTCCGCGTAGTAGGCGGTGGAGCGCGCATGACTGCAAGCACCAGTTAAATCCAAAAGACAGCCAGGTTGAGTCTTACCACCATTCGGGTAGAAGGCGCCCTTACCAATTGGTTTGAGGAAACCSAGTAGACCGCCATTGGTCTGAATGGACTCAACATAATTGGCATCGTTGGCATTCAAACGTTTGTTGGGCTTAKWATAACTGAAGARTGGCAGGGCGGGGTCCAAACCGACTATGGCGTGAAGCATTCCATTTTTAGTGTTCTTACCAGCATAACCGGCTACATGAGCACCCAAACTATGACCGATCACTTCCGTGTCATTCAAACTCAAACCATGTATATCAACCAAATAGTTGATCATGCTGGCCACTTTTTTGCCAACCTTAGGTACAGCAACAACAGAGGAGGCATAATCGACGGAACGTGCGCGTGCCCAATCGACAATGATCACATTATATTTTCCACGTCCCAACCAGGCAGCACGAATATCCTTATTCATGCCGGCGGTGTAGCTCTGAGTCCAACCGTGAATAACGAACCTGTAGTGAAATGTAAATGTTATGCACATCTGGTGATACTGGATCAGTTTATGTCACACCTTGTTGGATTGCTAGCATCGAATTCGGATTCGGATATGGACTTGAAGCTTTCTGTAATCTTTTGTGCCTTTGACGGATTTCTATTTGTGTAGAGGTAGAAAGTCACTGGCACTGGTAACAGACGACTCTGTACTTCCTCCTGTTTCTCCAATTCATCTAGCATTTGTTCACCCTCTTCGGTTGAGACCCAAATTAAGGACCCGTCCGCCTGTGGCACATACCAACCATTCTCTCCGCTTATGCGTTCGTCTTCAGAAATGGGAACGGCAACAACTGAAACGGAATTTATATGAGTCTTGCTAGTTCAATATACCTTTAAGTACTTTCTGTAGTGCTCGTGTAAATACCTGTTAGAGCGCAAACCGCCAAAATCACCAATACTTTCATTGTTTAGGTTTAATGTTCTACTATTGATCTTTTGGGGAAAGTATGACGTTTTATACACACTCGGGAGTATCGATATTTAAGTACATTATGAGTGCATCAGATAAACGAATCAAATAAATTATTAAGACATTCCATTAAATCAGTTAAAGGAAATGCTCACGCTTATTGGTCACGAAAAAAAAAGATCGTATCTAGAATTACTGCATTTCTTTTAGCACACACCTACCCAAATTTAGCAGATAAAAGTTTATTTTTCAAAGCTCCATAGGCGGCACTATGGAGTGTTTTCATTTTTATCAGTTAGCATAATTAGTATAAGGGGGTGCTGATTTACTTTCGATGGTAAACATTTTAATTAATGAAGCGGATGTCGCAATCAATGAAACTAATAAGCGGAGAATTAATTTAAATGTATAGATGGACATGCATATTTCGAAATGCTTTTTAGTTAACTAATCCACATTTAAGCTAATAGATTTAGCATATGGCTATTAATACTACTTCATAAAATTCTCGTCTCACGTTGTTGCCAAACGCCTCCGAAGCAGCAGGACCGATTTTGATGACATGTGGTCTGTTTGTCGAGTATGCCTGAAAATCGACCAAAATCTGTTTTTATACCCCTAGAAGTTAAGTATGGTCCATACTAGATATTTTTACATCCCCTGGGTAACACTTTTGGTTTTTACTTTTTTATGATGAGGAATTCAAAAATACTAATTCTATATTTTCACTCTTGACTTTTAATTGCGATTTTTCTAATACCCCGTCGCATCCACAGATCAGCAAGATGGCAATTAAATAATGTATAGTAATAATACTCCTCCCTTCTTCGTTGACAATTTGGACGGTAGGAAGCAATTCGGAGTGCACCACACCTCGATAACCGAAGAAACATTACCTAGATTTTTGACACGGTTTTTCGGCTTCGACTCACCTTTGCCACGATATTCGGTCGATTGATCATTCGGTTCCGGCTCGTAAGCATGAATCAAAAACATATCGCTAGTAATACTACGTTTACTGATATCGTGGCAGTCGAAATGCATTGTTTTGCAGCCGTTAGCGCGACTTTGTTCTCGGAAAAAAATAGTGAATTTGGAACCAATCGCGATTCTACTTTTCTTAGACCCAACTGATATTTCAGAATGGATTCACTGATTCTTCTGATATTCCAACGATGCCAGTAGGATCCCTGAATGTTAATCGTCGATCCTCAAGTACCAATTTCTAATCAATTAATCTAATCAGTTAATAGTTAATGGAAGTCCTGGACATGGTTTGTCGTTAAAGTGTTCTCAATCCTATTTGAATAACACCTGCTCGCGACAGACAATTATCACCGAATGCATATACTACACACGAATGATTTTTATGAAGACCATTCAGCTCCTTCTAAGGTTATTTGAAACAGAAGTTCCAAGAATACCAGCAGAACACAGCACGCCATAAAGTTACTCGGCGATAGTGTTGGTGGTCGACAGACCAAAAAGCTTCTACTTATATCCGTCGACAATAAAGAATAATATTGTAAGTGTCATAACAGAAAAATACCCTTAAGATTTTACCTTTAAAAAATTTAAAAAGTGTAGTGACAGAGTCTTCATAGGGCGATCAAACATTTGTTTATTTAAAACCCGAAAATTTCATCTGGCGATTTTTACCAGAAAAATAGTTTAAGAATGAGTTTTGTTGAAATTGTGTGTTTCCAATGTAATCAAAGCTATCGAATCATTGAAAATGTTGCAGAAGTGTTTTGGAAGGTTACTTCAGTACGTGGATTTTATTCTATCTCCTGTGGGTAAACTTAACACATTTTGGTCAATGCTAGACCCGTATGAAAAGTAATACAGATCGAATTTTCCGGTTATCGGCATTTCGAACGAAATATATATTTAAAATAAAATCGAAATTTTCAACCTAGAGTTCTCTTGTTTATGCCGGTACTCAACCTCGCAAGCACTTATTGCGAAACAGCCTCAAAAAAATACGCTTTACCAAATAACTTATTAACGTATTAACTGAGGTTTTGATAAAACAGAGTTTAGAAATTCACTACTTATTACAGGGACATGAAAACATGTAACTACTCTTAATACCTAAGTAAGTTCCTTATCACCCATTGCGACTGATCTTTGGGTTAAAATCAACTCAAACCACTAATACAAAACTCCAGTATTGTTTGTGAAGTTTACCAGCACTTAGACAAAGTTATTTGTATAAGTAAAGAGCACGTACACACAAAATATTAAAATAAATAAAATAGTTTTTAAATAAAAAATTAACTAATATCCTTTTGTTCTTATAAAACAATGCTTTCATAAATACATTATTATCACTAAAGATTTTAAGCATAACCGTAGCCAAAAGGTGAGGAGCTATGTACGGGTACATAATAATCACCATTCACCATGTAAGCATTTGTCACTGCACCCATTTTTACACCACTGTAAGAGCTGCCACATGCATCCTTCACTGCTTCCTTATAGTCACCACAACTCATGCTGGGGAAGTCATCACGAGCCACAGCCTCCGCGTAGTAGGCGGTGGAGCGCGCATGACTGCAAGCACCAGTTAAATCCAAAAGACAGCCAGGTTGAGTCTTACCACCATTCGGGTAGAAGGCGCCCTTACCAATAGGTTTTAGGAAACCCAGTTGACCGCCATTGGTCTGAATGGACTCAACATAATTGGCATCGTTGGCATTCAAACGTTTGTTGGGCTTAGAATAACTGAAGAATGGCAGGGCGGGGTCCAAACCGACTATGGCGTGAAGCATTCCATTTTTAGTGTTCTTACCAGCATAACCGGCTACATGAGCACCTAAACTGTGACCGATCACTTCGGTTTCATCCAAATTCATACCAAATTTATCGACCAAAAAGTTAATCATACTGGCCACCTTTTTGCCAACCTTGGGTACCGCAACAACAGAGGTGGCATAATCAACGGAACGTGCGCGTGCCCAATCGACAATGATCACATTATATTTGCCACGTCCCAACCAGGCAGCACGAATATCCTTATTCATGCCGGCGGTGTAGCTCTGAGTCCAACCGTGTATAACAAATCTGTGAAATTCGGATGTTAGACTTATCACCACCTCTTTTGAATACATTTAACCAGTTTATATCACACCTCGTTGGATTGCTAGCGTCGAAGTCGGAATTGTTAATAGACTTCGCAGTTTCGGTAATCTTTTGTTTTTTTGACGGGTTTCTATTTGTATACAAGTAGAAACTCACCGGCACTGTTGAAAGTCGGCCCTCTATTTCATCTTTATTCTCCAATTCATCTAGCATTTGTTCGCCCTCCTCGATTGAGACCCAAACTAATGAGCCATCAGCTTGAGGAATGTACCAACCATTCTCACCGCTGACACGTTCCTCTTCAGGAATGGGTACGGCAGCGTCTAAAGATAAAGTCAATGAATAATTTTCATGCGACTGATTACAGCTAGCGGTAAATTACCTGTGGTTAGCGCACAGATTGCTAAAATTATCACGACTTTCATTGCCAACTCAATGGGAAATACTATTAATTCTTCAATGAATCCAAATCAATTTATATAACAGGGGGGGTCTTAAGTAGCGTTATGTTTCGATGTCAGTCAGATAATACAAACCGTTATCAACAAAATAGTAGCTTAATGTTCATAAAACATAAAAGCGATAACCATGACATAGCGTTGTAAAAGTATAAATTTAAATTGATAAAAAATCGCTCATTTATTCAAATGGTTATCGACTAGTATTGTCGAAGTGCTTTATTATTACGAAGATAAGATACTAGAAGTACACTCTATAAGTGGTAAATTAAAATTTTTCTGTCAGTTTCTTTAATCGCAATATAGTTTGTTGCATTAGAGTTTAACATTCTTTACGAAATAATTATTACATTGTTAACGCCTTGCAGAGCCACACTGTCTTTTGCCTTTTCAAGTATATTCAGTAAGGTAATATGTTGCGATTGTAAGTATTTGGTGTTTAAGGAATATAAAACTGGATGATCAGTGAAAGATTTGGGTTCATATTTCCCAATGGTCTATGATTATTTCCACACCATACATACCAGCATTATTCGTTACTTTGGCGTTGCCTTTGAAAGAAAGCTTTAAGATGTGCATATTGGGATTCGATGTTAATAACAATTAAAATCGCATACTTTTGATTAAATTTTAAGTATTCGTTAATAGTTGAGTAGTTTCGCTATAGTCCATAGAATGACAGATATATGACTGGGATAAACCAGCTAAATGCGGATGTAAGAGAGTATTTCATACTCTCAAAACTTTCAACGTTCACAGGCATATTTTGAGATATTTCGAAATAATTTATGAGAATTTATCAAGAATACTCGAAAACATGTTTGAAGCAATTTTGTGGAAATTACTCGCATACTGATAATGTTTAAGAAAATCATTATATAATGTGACGAATTTCACACATTTTTGACATAACCCTAAAAAATATCCAATACGAACGTGAAGTTATGATATGAAGATATCTTACATATTGACGGATAGATACGGTATAAAGTCAACTGGAAGTTTGAATTCTTATAACGGATGTAAGGGTGTTCAGCACCACAATACATTATTTCCAAGACACGGAGCTTTCTAAGTGTCACTCTTAAATAAATATGTATATCAACGTCATTATAAGGCGTGGTCAGTTGCAGTTTTCAAAAGTCGTTAATCAATTTAGTAAAATTTGCCCTTGAAAAATTGACTCGCCTACTCAAAATTTATTACCACTTCTATTTTATTATGACTATAAATAAATCATATACTATCTTCTAAGTTCTCAAGCCGTGCGCTCAGATTTTTAATTGGCAACAATTTAGTCAACTGAAAAATGAAAAATACTATGGGTTAAGAAGTGTATTTATTTTTTACACTTGAAAACTATTTTCGTCTTAGACCCCAAGCTCTCCAAAGAAAAAACAAAAATTAAAATGGATTGAAATTATTTTAATAATAATTACATACTATCGACTACGTCAACATTCAACGCTGATATCGGTTATCGCATTGATTTTTATGCCTGCAAAAGTAGACAGCGTTCTATAATGTTAAACCACTTATTTTTTTTTTCTTATTTATTTATACGTTTTAATCACGATAAAGTAAACAAATCTTAAACTAATAAACGGTATTAATAAATTTAATAGGTAGTAAAAATAGCTCACTACAATAAGTTACAAACTAGCGATAGGCACACTGTCAAAAAAACGTATTGTCATTAGAAAGAGTAAGAAGTTAAAGAAATAAATAAATTCGAGTACAGTTGCCTTTTCGAAAATTGGTTGAGTAAGTCTCTTCTTGTTTTCATGATATTATTTAATTTTAAGTAGATGTGTCTTTCAGTTTTGTTTCTTCAAGAAGCAGTTTTTTAGCTAAAAGTTAAATTTATTTCACACATAATTAATTAAAGGAAGTTCCTTCTACGTATTCAAAACGTAGGCACCTATAGACTAAATCTACATATTGGGAAAACTGGACTTGTCAGCGTCCTCTGTTAGATTTAATGTTCATATCATACACTGTTCCCTTATAATAGGGAATATCGTCACCTTTAGGTCTACAACTTTGCTTCCGTCGGTTTGTTTGTAAATTTAAGGCTTATTTTATAAAAACGGCTCAAAAGTGTTTCCTTTATTCCTTCAAAAGGCAATGCTTAATTAACACACGAAATGCTTTATAATCCATTTTTTTGTAAACGAACGTTGCTTTACAAAAATTCTATATTTTTTTAATATCTAATAGAAATCATATAGATGGTAGTAGTAATAGGTAAATGGTAGAAGTAATAGTATTATCAGTATAGGTGTTAGCCTCAGTAAAGCATGGAAGCAAAATATTCCGCAAATGTCAAGAATTCGGCTCAAAAAGTGACATTTTCCGTTGAGAATAAGTTTCGGATGCAAACAGATCTCTACAAATATTTTGTTAAGGTTAAGCATTTATCGATTAAATCGAGACGTCTATTAGAAAACGCCGGAAACAAAGTTGTAGATCAAGCAAGATGATCTATGTATCGGAATACATACATGTATCGGAAGTAAAGGGTAAAATGTATCAAGTATACACAATGATCAAGCTATCTCAATTTTAAATTCTACATAATTCGTTCACTTTACATGCAATAGAAACGAAGTAATCGAAATAAAATAGTGATTTTTAAGAAATAGCATCACACGTCTAAACATGTCGAAACTGAAATGTAATTACCCATGACTCAATATGTGAGATATATTACCGAAACTAAGAGAGTGATGTAAAAGAGCTGTGAGTGTAACTCAGGAACTAACCGATAAATTTCAACCAAATTTGGTACCTGAAGTTACCCAATCACTCTAATCTTCTTCTTCTTCTTGAATGGCGTAGACACCGCTTACGCGATTATAGCCGAGTTAACAACAACTCTAATCATACATTTCGGAAATGTGCAAAGGCTGAAAACGACTACACCTACTTTTTTTTGCAGATTAATTATTGTACCTGATTTCTTGACTTCCAGTATACAAATGAAGATCCAACGAATATACAGATATAACACTTTGAACAAGAAAAGCCCTCAATTGTCGAAGTCCGGCTAAAATTTTTGAAGAACAACAAATATTTGATCCCACTCCATTTGGTTGACTTTTTTCCAAGAATATCGGCCAATCTAGTATACAAAATTTGGAGAGAATGGAGGAGTTTGTGAATATTCCCTTGTCCCAAAAATGAGTAAAATCTCGTACATCCACCATACATCCATAAAGATAATATTTAATAAATTTTAAGGAAATTCAGATATCATATTTTTCCAATAACAGTATATTTTCTTGATGATGGTGAAAAATAAATGCAGCACTTCTGATTTTTAGTTAAAATATATATGTAATTTCCGCATTCACTTCAAAATGCGAGAGTGGGAAATATTCTGTCACATTCGAACTTAGCCCTGCATTACTACTTTGCACCACAAATGTTAATGAAGATCCCTTCAAAAGGTTCTTAATATCTCACTAAATACCTTGGCGCTAATTTCGTGTACTTCTTATGATAAATTCAATTCCATCTATTACCATCTATATGTCGATTGGTGCGGTCGAAGTTGCTATCTTTATCGATTGTCCAGTGAGAATTTCATGACATTTCATTGATTAGAAGTGAAGTTATTTCGTTTTAAATGTCAGTATGTTTATGTTATCTATGCGAAAATGACCTTCGAATAAAGGACAATATTAAATTTTGTTTTAAAATTGTTAAAACTTTTACCAAAACGTTTCAATTTATGAAACAAGTTTATGACGATGATTGCCTATCTCGTAGCAATGTGCACGAGTGGTTTCAACGTTTTCAAAGGGGTCGTGAGGACATAAATATTTTAGATTCCTGTTTACTTTGGAACGAACCTTGTAGATCAAAAAGGAAAGATGAAATTGGTGGTGGGATATAGGCATCATATTCGTTAAAATTAAATCAACAATGGTGCTGGAGTGCGTCACATAACTTAACATGGTTGCCATGAATAATATGTATGATTAAGGTATGTTTCTGAAGAAATTGTTACTGGCAGCAAATGTTCGGCTTTCGCCAAGCGAAGCTGTTTTTAGAAAAATATGGTACAACACAAAAAGGTATAAGCAGGTAATCGTTTTCCGCAGGTCAATATGGATCACAGCACGCTAAGGTGTCATCTGTGAGAATAATCGGTCTGTTTCGGTTGTGCGACCACACAGCAGAGACATCCGAACCATACCCCTTAGTCACAAATTTATATTTTATTAACATACGTTCGTTGTATTACAAAAGAAAATAAAAATCACCTCGAGCTGTTTATCGCAAAGTTTGTAATACCCAGAAACGTCGTGGACCCTATAAAATATATAAGAGGTCAATTTAAAAGTGCCCAGTCTGATACATAGATGGTTGTATGCCAATTAAATCCATAAAATTTTTAGTTAACCCTCCGCTACAAATGGCATGTGTATAAATATCACATATGGCATCATCAGTTTGTGAATTATATCGTTTTGATTAAGGATTTTTTTTATGCTAAAAAAATTAATAAAAAGGAATTTCTCGAGGTAAAAAATACTGTTGAAATAAATAATTTGTTCTAAGACGAGTTTCCATCCAGGATTGATAAGAATGTTCAATACAAATGAAAATATTAATTATTAAAATTACGATTTATTAAATCACATAATATACCCCATGCAGAGTATAATTCCCGTCTCTTATCTTCTTAATAATAAAGCACATTCTTTAAGTTAATTGATATCTTCTTTAATGAAATTAATTTTTTATATTATCACCGTCATGTCATAGTTATCGCATTTAAATTTTTCGTCAATAATTTATTTGATGCATTTGCACTTACTATATAAATTGGCTTGCATTCATTCCAAAATTATTAGTATCTCCCATTGAGTTTGCAATGAAAGTCGTGATTACTTTAGCAATCTGTGCGCTAACCGCAGGTAATCTACTACTACTTGCTTGTATTCAGTGCATGGAAATTCATTAATTTCATCCTTAGTCGCTGCAGTAGCCATTCCCGAAGGGAAAAGAGTCAGTGGTGAGGATGGTTGGTATATTCCTCAAGCTGATGGCTCATTTGTTTGGGTCTCAACCGAGGAGGGTGAACAAATTTTGGCCGATTTAGAGCAGCAGGAAGAAATGCAAAGTCGTCTACTGCCAGTTCCAGTGACTTTCTACCTCTACACAAATAGCAACCCATCTAAAGGAGTAAAGATTACCGAAACTGTCAAATCCATCACCGATTCCGGCTTCGATGCTAGCAATCCAACAAGGTATGATATAAACTGGTTGAAAAGTGTTTTAAGCATCTGGTGATACTACATAAGTATAACCACTAACATCCACAGATTCGTTATACACGGTTGGACTCAGGGCTACAACGCTGGTATGAATAAGGATATCCGTGCATCTTGGTTGGCACGTGGAAAATACAATGTGATCATTGTCGATTGGGCACGCGCACGTTCCGTCGACTATGCCTCCTCTGTTATTGCGGTACCAAAGACAGGCGAAAAGGTGGCCAGTATGATTAACTTTTTGGTCGATAAATTTGGTATGAATTTGGATGAAACCGAAGTGATCGGTCACAGTTTAGGTGCTCATGTAGCCGGTTATGCCGGTAAGAACACTAAACATGGATTACTTCACGCCATAGTCGGTTTGGACCCCGCCCTGCCATTCTTCAGTTATAATAAGCCCAACAAACGTTTGAATGCCAACGATGCCAATTATGTTGAGTCCATTCAGACCAATGGCGGTCTACTCGGTTTCCTCAAACCAATTGGTAAGGGCGCCTTCTACCCGAATGGTGGTAAGACTCAACCTGGCTGTCTTTTGGATTTAACTGGTGCTTGCAGTCATGCGCGCTCCACCGCCTACTACGCTGAGGCTGTGGCTCGTGATGACTTCCCCAGTATGCGTTGTGGTGACTATCAGGAAGCAGTGAAAGATGATTGTGGCACTTCTTACAGTGGTGTGAAAATGGGTGCAATAACAAATGCTTATATGGTGAATGGTGATTATTACGTGCCCGTACGTAGTTCTTCACCTTATGGTTTCGGTTCATCTTAAAATGATTGCATATAAAGTGATGAAAATTACTAATAAAGATGTGATATGAGAAGATAATTAATTGTGTGTTTACAAAATATGTTACGTTCGCTTTTAAGATTCTGGAACACATCGTGGTTAAACCCAAATTCTTCTAAAACTCGTCTCTCAGTACAGGAACTTAGTGAGATATTAACAACCTTTTATAGTGAATTTCAATAATGTTTATACTCAAAAGTAGTACTCTCGCATTATAAAGTATATATTTTACATAAAAGTAGAAAGTATTGCTTATATTTTTTACAATCATAGGCCAGAACGTACACTGTTATTAGGAGATATAGTTTTTGAATATACACATACACATTCATCGACATAAGTTCAGCCTTTGTTCGAAAATAGTTTTATAGGTTATGGGGACTAAGGGATATATTTACGCGATTTACCCGATTTTACCTATTTTAGAATACACAGATTGACCGATACTTTAGATAAAAATCTGCCATGCATACTGGTATCCAGTTGTTTGGTGTCTGAGTCTTTGAAAAGTTTTAGCCCGATTTCGACAATAACATATTGAAGGCACCACTTGTTCAAAGTGTTATTGTAATATATTCATTGGTTGTTGATTTGTATACTAGAAGTGAAATAACCATTTTTTCAAGTGATTGCGGTTGCCCAATCCCCTTCGCACCAAATTTGGTTGCTTTATGGGCGGATCACGCTGACTTTTAGAAAGGCTTTAGCGAGCAGGTGTCCCTGGCTACTGCTACTCATATGTACCCAAATTTAATGTCTAGACGTTATATGCTTTTTCGATTCCTGGCGCTTTGTGGGCGTGACTGTGGTCTGGTCACGTCCATCTGTAATACCAACTTTTCTGACTGCTAGAGAACTTATATGACCGTTATTCATATTTAAACTCGTTTCGTCAACCTGATTAGTTATATACAAATAACTTCAAATCCATCTAGCTTAGTTTTCAGTGTTACAAACAACCGTTAGGTGAACACAACTATTATTCTCTGTAGCAGAATGTTGCGAGAAAATTGCGTTATATGCGAAATAAGTAAAATTGTAGTCCTGCTGGCCAATGAGTTTTACAATGTTACTTAAGAATTCGCCAAATTTAAGTTAACAAAACTGCTCTGTTGTAACATGTGGCGAAAATGAATATAAAATTAGTTAATCTTACTTCGATCTACATTAATGTGTCGCCATTCGATATTATGATACCGCTTCTTCCAATGGTCGAAACACTTCGCAGATTCGATTTTCGGGATAGCCCTTTGCTCCTTCATTTCTACCTTGTAAACGACGGCGCCTTATGGTTCAGTATATTTTTGGAAATAGGAAAAAGTCACACGGACCCAAGAATACGAAATCAGCAAGCTTATAAAAACACGTCTAACTTCAGCGGCTACTCAGGCAAAGTAAGCAATGAATACAGCTGAAATTTGGTAGTAAATACTTCAACTGTATAACGTTTCGTTTTTCCAAAGTGCAGGTGGCAATTATTGGCAAAAATGTTGTAAAGTGTGTAATTTATAGGATCTATTAAGTTTCATTCGAGGTGTTAAAAATTTCGTGGAAAATTGCCAATATAAACAAAAGAATCTCCATCCCACATCCTACATTATTCAACCCAATTAATGAGAAGTGTTTAAAAGCCATCGAGCGGTTCAAACTTGAAAAGTTGATTAGGTTAATGCAGAAGGTGTTAACATCTGCCAATGTTCTGCTGCAAATAATATCTGGATCTATCGAGTACTCTGCATTAATTAAGCTAGCTGAAGTAAACAAAATCATATATTCGTTTTTGTAATTTGTTCTTTGAGCAGGATGCTTTTTTCATCGACAGTTCAAAACCGCACGGTAAGTTTTTATTTCTTTGATAATAAATCCTACTCATTTCTGTTTATGATCACGAAGCGAACCCTATATTTATTCTAACTAAAAAGTTAGAAAAAATTGTGACGACATCGCTTTTTAAAATTTGTTTTTTAATTCCAACCATTTGCTCTATTTAATATTAAGTTTTTAATATTCCCAATAAATTTATGCTATACTGTATCGCTAAACCGAAATAAGTATATGGGACAGTTCATTGCTGGGTGCGATTATATGCAGATCGGTTGCAAATTGATTGACCACGTGCTTGTTTGTTTATTTATATTAAATAAAGTGTGTAATAAATTTATTCCTGTCTCAAATCAATTTTTATATCTTTACTATTGAAGAGCAGTTCCATATACTGGAAATCTCAGAAACTGGAATGTTTTTACGTTTTAACGAGAATGAAAAAAATAAGAACACGATTGAAAATTTTCTAAAAGATCTCTAAAATATGGTAAGACACCTCGAAAGGTCCGACAACTTTTAATAAAAGAAAGGAAGTTCGAGAAATCAGGCGTTTGGCGGTTAGTAATAACGTAATTGTCAATACGGTGTCAGTTGTCTTTTCCAGTGACTACTCGACGCGTCCAACAAATCCCGAAAACAGATAACACCATTCGATATGAAAAGAGAAATGCCAAACCGAGAGTTTTGCAAAGACACAAGTTGGTGCGACTTCAGTTTGCATAAAAGTAACTTTTTTGTGTCACCGAATAGCAATCCGTCATATTTAGTGAAGAAAATAAGTTTAACTTAGATAGGTTCGACAGTTTTCAATATTATTAACGCGATATTCGTCGTGAGAAAAAAAAAAACCGATTCGCTAGAAACATTCAAGACGAATCGCAGAGAAACACATAGAGCTTCTGAATAAGGTGTTAGTGCAGTTTGGTGAACAATATTGGGGTGAACTGAGGACTTTTCAACACTATAACGTTCGAATTTATAGAGCCCCATCTACTCGAGGGTTTTCAGAAAACAAAAATATTTATGTATTGGAATGGCCAGCAGTAAAACCGGACCCATCGAGAATCTATGGGACATTCCATCCAAGAAGGTGTATGCCAACGCCATATACCAATACCTAACAGTATTGGAATTGCAAAGAGCAATCCATAAGGAATGGTCAAATTTAAATTTGTGTTTATTACAAAATTTAATTTGGTCGATGCCATTTCGTATATCTTCTGTAATAAATAACTTTTTTTACCAAAAACAACAATGGTTGAAAAACCAGTATCAGGAGATCTTCTAATGTAATATACCCGTATTTTTGCAACGATATGTGATAATATGTGAAGCATTATTCCATTATTTCATCCATGGGCATGTAATAATTTTTATTAACTACCTTGAAAGAAGAAGGAGCGACTATTACAAAGCCGTTGGGAGGACCAAGACAATGCACTGTGTCACAAGTCAGGGAAAATGACGACAAAAATCCATGAATTAGGCTGCGAATTCTTCAACATCCACCGCATTCTAAAGATCATACCTTTGTGACTATTTCTTGTTCTCTTATCTGCTTGCTTACTGTTAAGACATTTTCGGCAAGTGAAGTGGTGAGGCCTAATTGGTAGCAAAGGACACAAGTTGTATAGGTATCGAAAAGTTGAATGGTCGCTGTAATCAGTGCAACACTTTTGAAGGGAAATATGTCGAAAAAAGAAAACAATTTTGCCAAGAAAAAAAAAAAAATGTGTTTTCCTAAGGCAAGCCGGGGACTTTTCAATTGACCTTTTATATTTTATAACTGATCAGCCTAATGAGCTGAGACGATATAACTCTGTCCGTTTGTTTGCCCGTCGGTGTATCCGTATATATGTCACTCGGATCTTTGACACATCGATCTGACATTTTGCGCACACACTTTTCTCCTCAAAAAACTGCACATTCGAACCGCTGACATGGGACTACTATAAGATATATGCAAACTAATCGACGAAATTCAAATTCTTGTTTGGAAAACTTTTTTATTTGTGAAGGTTATTATAGCTTCCAAGTGAAACGATTTATTAATATAATTTTGGCTGCGTCAGCGTTCAATGCTGATATTCGTTATCTCACTGATAATTTATAGTCTATCTTAAAAAGTGCGTAGCGTTTCTATAGTTCTATAGTTGTCCAATACTTTTTCGGCCTTATTCACAATACGCATTACCACAAATCACGATAAAGTAAACAATTCGTAAATTTAATAAGCAGACATAAATAACAGAAGGTATAAATGAATTTAATAGTTCATTACAACACGTAACAAAATAGCGATAAATACACTGTCAAAAATTAATGACAAGAATAATAGAGATAAGGAGGTAATGATGGTATTTCTAAAATTTATCCAAATATAAAAACATTCGAGGAAATAATATGTATACATATGTGTATATAATAATATTATATATAATACCCTTATGTATTACTAACAGTTCGCCGCCGGTGTGATAAGCATGAATACTTAGTGTTTGGTGCTATAAGGAGACATTGACCGATATAATAAATTTTGATTACCAAATCACGTTACCGTATACATCCGTAAATCTACTTGAATGGGAAAAATTTAGATCTTTTTCAAAATGTGGTGGGAACATTAAGGGGTTATATACAGTAAGCTGGCCGAAATAAGCGAATTTTCCAGATTTTTTTGTTTTTCAGAGAAAACCTTTAAATTTATTGACCAAACATTTTTACACATATTATGGTATCTTTTAACTGTATTTCAAGACTTAGTATTAGTAAAACAAGAAAAAACGTTAACTTCGTCTGCATCGATATACCCTTCACAGGTGAATTTCTTTTAGTAACTATGTATTCAGTTTATTTGGAAGCTATATGCTATAGTAATACAATCTGAATACGATACCACGTCAAATATGAAAGTTTTCCATACAAGTTTGTATGGCAGCTGTATGCTATAGTAAGCCGATCTGAACAATTTTTTCGGAGATTACATTGTTGCCCTAGAAAATAACCTGTCCCAACTTTTGTGAAGATACATCGTCAAATGCAAAAGTTTTCCATACATGAACTTGACTCCGATCGTTCAATGAGCGGTTTCTTGAAGAGAAAATGACGTTTGCAAAATTTCAAAATGATATTTTAACAAGTAAGAAAGGGCTGAGTTCGGGTGTCACTGAA